GTGCGTGGCGGCGCGGCAGGTAACTCGGAGCTGGACCAGAATGTGGAGACGGAGCCCAACTCACCGACCTACACGCGGCTGCTGCTCGAGTACGAGCGACACCTGCGCAACACACTGGCCAAGGGCGACGACGCGGAGTCCTACAGCCTGCACACGTTCGAGGCGCTGCTCTCACAGTCCACAGAGGACCTCGGTAGGTGTCCAGTAGTCCACAGAGGACCTGAGTAGGTGTCTGGTGGTCCACAGAGGACCTGGGTAGGTGCCTGATGGTCCACACAGGAGACCTGGGTAGGTCCCTGATGGTCCACAGAGGACCTAGTAGGTGTCTAATGGTTCACAGAGGACCTCGATAGGTGTCTGATGGTCCACTGAGGACCTGGGTAGGTCCCTGATGGTCCACAGAGGACCTAGTAGGTGTCTAATGGTTCACAGAGGACCTCGATAGGTGTCCAGTGGTCCACTGAGGACCTGGGTAGGTGTCTGATGGTCCAACGAGGACCTGGGTAGGTGCCTGATGGTCCACTGAGGACCTGGGTAGGTGTCTGATGGTCCACAGATGACCTGGGTAGGTGTCTGATGGTTCACAGAGGACCTGGGTAGGTGTCTGATGGTCCAACGCCGAGGACCTGGGTAGGTATCTGCCTTAATTAATACGGATAGGCGTATTAAGTAAGGCGGTGTGTGGCGACCGCTGTTATGCTTTGTGCTTCGTCTCAGGCTGATGTGTTCCCTGTGCTCCGTCTGAGGGCGGTGACTGTTCTGTACTCCATCTTAGGATGGTATGTGCTCCGTCTGAGGGCGGTGTGTGCTCTGTGCTCCGTCTGTGTGTTCCGCGCTCCGTCTGATGTTGGTTATAACTGCCGCTGTGTCCCCGCTGCAGCCTCTGCCGGGACGGCGCAGCGGCCCGGCGCGGCCCCGGCCCGAGGGACGGCCGCCGCGGCCCCCGGCCGGCGGGATCAGAGGCCGCCCATGGGCCTCCCGGTCTCCACCAATGCCTCGTTCACACAGCCCACAACCAAGACCATGGGACTCGACTCGAGTCGACAAAACACGCTGCGAAGGTGAGGACAGATCTGCGAGGACAGGTGTGCTGCGTCATTTATATTTGACATAACTACTTGAAAACATTTTGAGCTTAAACTTTTTTACGATGCTGGCGTTATTCTTCAGACTATGACCAGACACCCACGCTCCCAGAGTGCGCGCGATGTGCAGGATGTAGTAACTAGTCTGTCTGTCAGTGCGGCTGTGTCAGCTGGTTCCCGCCGGGTCCCCCAGGCACGCCTCGCTCAGCCGCCAGGACAGCGTGCGCTCGGGGTACGTCAGCGACCGGGAGCGGGGCTACGTGTCGGACCAGCAGGGCCCGGCGCGGCCCGGCACCCAGCCGCCGGCGCCGCCGGCCGCCCACCAGCGCATCACGCGACAAATCTCCTCCGAGAGCGCCGACTCCAAACTGTGCTACCTGACGTCATCTGAGGTAGGTAGCACCAGGTCTCTTCCGAGAGCGCCGACTCCAAACTGTGCTACCTGACGTCATCAGAGGTAGGTAGCACCACGTCCCCTCCGAGAGCGCCGACTCCAAACTCTGCTACCTGACGTCGTCAGAGATAGGTAGCGACAAATCCCCTCCGAGAGCGGCGAGCGCCGACTCCAAACTGTGCTACCTGACGTCATCAGAGGTAGGTAGCGACAAATCTCCTCCGAGAGCGGCGAGCGCCGACTCCAAACTGTGCTACCTGGCGTGATCTGAGGTAGGTAGCGACAAATCCCCTCCGAGAGCGCCGACTCCAAACTGTGCTATCTGACGTCATCAGAGGCTAATACAGGGTCTGGCCAGAGTCTGGCTCAAGTGCAGTTTTCCGTAGTTCCTGTTCCCCTAAACGGGATTAGCTGTTTCCATTACCCTTTTGAAATGATTGCCTGAGATCATATGTATATTGATATGCTGTCTCGATGAATAAGGCTCTTGGGAGTGGCTTTGGGGTGCAATACTGGCCATGTGAGGCCATTGTGGTTCAGTGGCTGAGTGGGAGGAAAAAACGAATTATCGCAGCGCCGAAATGCTACTTCCAATGACCTCGCCTGTGCCGGGAGTAATGACCGCTAGTAACACGGTAGCAAATTACTGAATAATTAAAACAACAATTAAGCACGCAGTTAAATTGATTTTTGGAGCTGATTTCGAATTTAGAAACTATTTGAACATTAACGAAGTAGTTTTTAAATTTGTTTTTATTATTATAAATTTAGTTCGAATGTTTGAATGGACGGATTGACAGAGCCGAGGCCCACGCTAAGCAGAGCTTGTTGCGTAGACCCCGACTCCTACCGCCCGATCACGCAATTCCGGGTAACGGGAGAATTTAGATACCAAAGTTTAACGTGCCCTTCAAAGCCGGACACGGCCTGTCCCACTCAACTGACTTCAACTGGCTGCGGATGCTCCCACCAACCGCAGACCATCCTCGTCAGGAGTCTCAAATATCGAGCGCCGGAGCGTCTCGAACCTCCGGGAGTCCGGTGCTCTACGAACTGAGCTACGGGACAGTTTTGGTGCCTTCGTAACATGCTACGAAGCTGTCAGAGGCGGTTGACACCTACTACGAATACCCGTCACGACCCCTACTGGTTGACCTGACCTGACCTGACTCGACCTGGTCTAAATGCTTACAGACATCATCTGTGATCAAAACTAACACGATATTCGTAATCAGCACCCCGAAAAACCCCATAGCAGCCACACTTTACGACTTTCTAACAGGTCCCGATTTTCCCGACTTTTGGGTCATTGACCTGACCTGGGAGGTCAACCAATGACCTAGGACCTTAACCCGCGCCCCAGTGGCGGTCTCAGCCAACTTCGCCCTAGTGGGGGGGGGGGGGCATATGTTACCACCCACGTCTAACTCAAAAACTAAGAGGGCTAGAAAGACGCGGTAAAAAGCAGTCGATAGCTCTCAATGCGTACGTTTGAAAATATTTCGGTCATTTTTCATCTTAGAGCAATATTGGGGTCACTGGAGGTCATCAAAGGTCAAAATTTGTCAAATGTCATTATATTTCTCAGAAAACATGCATTTGTCTCAGGAACTATGATAGCTAGAAAAACGCATGGAAAAGCAATCGATAGCTTTTGAACTCTTCTTTTGATAAGGTCGCTATCAAAATTGACCTTAGGTCAACGGTTTAGCCTCCAGAGGGCAAATACCCCAAAAATAGCTGTTTTTACGAAATGTGTTTTTCGACAATAACTTTTGACTAAAAAAGCACAACGTTTCTATTGTCAGAATCATGTTCCTCTCGCCGAGACGCGTCAAATGCACTATAATTTGACCTTGAAAGGTCAACTTGAAAATTTGACCTCAGGTCAAGGTCATGACCTGACCGGAAAAGGTCATGTTGCATATCATTCGATGCGTCTCAACAAGACAAACATAATGAGACCATCCCCAGCGTCCTATCTCTTTCCAATCGAGAGTTATTGGCAAAAATCTGTTTGTAGCCTCAAATGACCTCTGATGACCTTTCTAGAGGCTATCAGCAAAAAAGACACCTTGGTCGTCACGGGTGGTCCAAATCATTGTGATTCTGAAATATTTGGACTGTTCCTATGCGTACACACGGATCTAGAGGCATTTTCATTTTTCTCCATTGACTTATAATGGTAAGGTCACGCCACTGACCTGACCTTAGGTCACGGATATAAAAAATCCGAGATATACAACTGGTAGGCGCCCATAACATCATGCAATCCACCAAGTTTAAAACCTTTCTGACAAACACTGCAGGCTGGACATTTCAAACTTGTTTAGGCTTGGTCAGTTAACTTGACCTGGTGACCTGACCTGACATGACCTGGGGTCAAAAATTTCACACATTGTCCAAAATTGATGTACAAAAAGCTACTCGAAGCGGCGCGGCGCTATGCGCCGCGGTTTTTTATTCACACGCAAAAAACGCGACAGGGTGTTAACATATGCCCCCCCCCCCCACTGGGGCGAAGGTTAAAATTGAGTATCATCGGCTTCGTCTCGTGACGGGCAGCACGCTCGTTTTTTCCGCGAAGCTCTAGCTCGATCAGGCGCCAAACGGCAAGGGGGGTCCAACCGACCCCCCCCCTACACATTAGAAGCTGGCAAATGCCGCACACATGCGAGGGTTAAGACGTCGAGAAAGCTGTATTGTCCGGCCCGTAGACTCAGTCCGGCCCGTAGGCTCAGAGAAGAGGGCCTTTTCGAGATGTCGCGCCCGGACGACCCAGCGAATAGGGGTTTTATCGGGAGACCCAGTTGAGAGGGTCTGTCCCGGAGACGGGTGTCGGGGAGAGGGTCCCGGACGGCCGCACTCGGAGGCTGGAGAAGAGGGGCTGTCGGGATAGGTTATCGGGTGTCCCGCCCGGCTGCGGCCGGAGACCCGGAGAAGAGGGGCTGTCGGGTGTCCCGGTCGGAGGCCGGAGAAGAGGGGCTGTCGGGTGTCCTGGTCGGAGACCGGAGAGGAGCGGCCAGGGGCTGTCGGGTGTCGCACCCGGCCGCGGTCGCCCCGATCGATCGCGGCGCCGTCCGCCGACGGGCAGCTGTTGCATCTCTGCTGGCGAGGTCGCCGCGCGGCCCAGTCGGCCATTGATTCGCAGAGCATCCAGTGCGCCGACGCGCCGGCCGCCGTCGATCGGGGCCGCCCACCACACCCAGTGGCAGTGACGCCGTCCCGAGCTGGCCCAGTCCGGCCAGAGGCGCAGCACGTCCGCGGCGCAGCGGCCGGCCGAGCAGCGCGGCGCGGACAGCGGCTGCCGAGGCTGGGACCGCGGCGCGGCCAGCTCCGGCGACAGGGCGCTCCTCCGACCGCGGTCTGCACAGAGCGTCCCGTGCTCGGTCAGCGGACGGTGACGTGCCGGCGGTGTCCCGGGTGTCTGCGCGCGACGGTCTCCGTCGTGCGGAGAGTGCCAGGAGGCGGCTGCAGCCGGCGCTAGCCCGGTCGATCCAGACGAGACGCCCTCGATACTGTGACGAATCGGCTCGGTCGTCGGCGCGGGGCGGCGCTCTGCCGTGCTGGTTGCTCAGTGATCGGTGTGAGGCGGCGCTCTGCGAGCTGGGTGCTCAGTGATCGGCGCGGGGCGGCGCTCTGTGAGCTGGGTGCTCAGTGATCGGTGTGAGGCGGCGCTCTGCCGAGCTGGGTGCTCAGTGATCGGTGTGGGGCGGCGCTCTGCCGAGCTGGGTGCTCGGTGTTCGGGCTGAGCTGCTGAGCGGGCTGACAGAGTGGCGGCGGATCCCCCGCTCTCAGCGGTAGGAGCCACCGGGGCTGGCCTACTCAGTGATCGGGGTGAGCCGCTGAACGGGCGGCGGCGGCGGTGGATCCCTGCTCTCGGCCGTGGAGGAGACCCCGGGGGCTGTTTGGTCCGACTAGTGACGTCATCTACCCCAGGCGGAGCGCCAGAGGCCGAAGGTCACGGCACTACCGTGACGGTCATTGAGGTCAAGCAACGACCGGCTTCCGATCTGCGAGCCTGCTTATCGAGTGTGCGCCCCTGCAGTCATCGTTACAGTCACAATCAGTCACAGTCACAGTAACGGCCACAGTCAGTCACAGACACAGTGACAGCCGGTTAGAGGAACATCGAGCGCCGCGGCGCGGCGGCCGGTCGACGGTCCCATTTCGCTGGCGGAGACGGGCGCTCGTTCAGACTGATGGAGGTGACACCGCCGCCAAATGAGCAACATGGAGACGCTAAATTACCGAAAATGACAGTGGGAGCCTCCACATCGGTAACGCTGGCGGGATAGCCCAGTGCCATATTTGTGCAGCGATGGGGGAGACGTATATGATTTACAAGGAGCGCCGGCAGAGGAAACAGCTGGAGTCGGCCCACGAGCGCTCCACGCGCCGGTTCATCAAATTCCTCCAGGTAGGGCGGTGACGGGGGCCAGCGCTGAGCGGCATCTCCAACTGGTAATTGGTGATGAATTCAGGAATCCACGTAGTGCTTACTGCCTACATATGAGAACGGCCATAGATAACGACCTCATTTATGTAATCCATTGAGCAGCACACTTACGTGTGACGTTCTGTATGGCTTTGCTGACAGAGCAGGCGCTCCTGAGCCCGAGAAATGAGTACCTATTGTTCAGCCTGTCGCTCAACTTTAGTGGGATAGTTGAGGTTTATACGACAGGTGCCTCAGGGCTCCACATAGGGGTGGGTGACGTCAAATGAGACGTTTGAAACTGCGTCACGAATGACTTACTTATCTTGCTGCCTCGCTCACATGCTCATACCTACACCGCCTCTGGAAACGAATGTTTGCTTTACTGTACCGGCAGCGTTATCGGTCGGGCTCTATTATTGTTCTATTCGTCGTGTCATTACCAGCTTGAGACTGGATCAGTGTCCTACCTGGCTTATGTCTCGTACCTAGGGCTCTGCTGCCTCAGTGTCCCAAGAACTCTGCCATGTGAAAGTTTCATACCTGCTGATGTGAGATGTTCTGGGCTTATTCTGGGCTGGAGCTCAGGGTGCGTCGACTTCTAACAATTCATGTTGCACAGATAAAACAAGGTCGGTCACATATTCACTAGTGGTTCGCAGGAAATGTCACAGTGCAGTGGTCTGTGGGCTATCGAACGACGTGCTTTCGATCGCCATTGTTCTTGCCCGCATAGCATAGGCATTCTACTGGTGTGCAATGCTTTTTCGACATGACTAGCAATTCGCAACTGACCGTAGGTCATCTTGTGACGCTTAGAAGTAAAATTGATAGTAATTGACACCGCGCGTTCGATGTCTCGGACGACGAAGATTCTACGTCGTCCGGCCAGTCCCGTTCAAGTTCAGCGGGGGCTCGGCTGCGGCTATGGAACGTGATTAGCCGGACGGCGTAGAATCTTCGTAGTCCGAGAGACATCGAGCGCGGGGCCGTAAGTAGCTTCAGTGCCATTATTGGGCGGGCGACAATTTGCTGGATGGATACGTATGCGGGCCGTGACCTTTGTTGACCTCTCTAGGTAAAACGACTAGGAATGCCGCCAAATGCCTTGGGCCATGCAATCTGTACTACAATAATTTTGTCGTCTGCGGGTTTCAAGTCGATCCGATGTGCCCATAACCTGGTCTGAATGCGGGTTAAATGTGGGCTCACTATGGACTGTTTTCACTAACGTGAGGTCAGGGTCGTGAGGTCTGGTTGACCTCTGACCCCGGTCCCGCTGCCGGCAGATGTCGGACGACGACCGGATGTCGCTGACCCCTGACCTCTGGTCTGACCTCTGACTGACCTCTGACCCCTATCCCGCTGACCTCCGACCCCGGTCCCGCTGCCGGCAGATGTCGGACGACGACCGGATGTCGCTGACGACGGCCGTCAGTGACGAGGACGAGGAGGCGGCAGAGGCGTCGCTGCACGCCTCGCCCTACCGCGTCTCGCGCTCGGGCAGCTCGGCGGCTTCCTTCAACTGCACGGGCGCCGTCCGCAAGGCCGGGTCAGTCGGCGGGGCCGCGCTACACGCGGACACACGGCTACACCCGTACACAGACACACGGACACACGGCTACACCCGTACACAGACACACGGACACACGGGTACACCCGTACACAGACACACGTCTACACCCGTACACAGACACACGGGCATACGGGTACACCCGTACACAGACACACGGACACACGGCTACACCCGTACACAGACACACGGACACACGGGTACACCCGTACACAGACACTCGGACACACGGGTACACCCGTACACAGACACACGGACACACGGGTACACCCGTACACAGACACTCGGACACACGGGTACACCCGTACACAGACACACGGACACACGGGTACACCCGTACACAGACACACGGACACACGGGTACACCCGTACACAGACACTCGGACACACGGGTACACCCGTACACAGACACTCGGACACACGGGTACACCCGTACACAGACACACGGACACACGGGTACACCCGTACACAGACACTCGGACACACGGGTACACCCGTACACAGACACACGGACACACGGGTACACCCGTATACAGACACACGGACACATGGACAAACGGTCTCACAGACACACGAACATACAAAGACATAAGACGCAGGCAGGTTTGGGATAATGGGTGCCAACCTGCCTTAGTGTAAGAACGTTTGGCAGAATGTAAAGAACGTAAGAACGGTGAAGAACGTAAGAACGCTCCTTTCGGTGAGGAAGTGGCTGTTACTGCTGCGTTGGGCTGTAACAGCTGTGCTGTGCTGTGTTGTGACTGTAACAGTTGCGCTGTGACTTTAGTTGCTGTGTTGTGACTGTAACTGCTGCGTTGTGTCTCTAACTGCTATAGTGTGGCTCTAACTGCTGTACTATGGCTGCCACCTCTGTACTCCCGGCTGTAGCTGTTGTGCTGTGGCTCAAATCGATGTGCTGTGACTAACTGCTGTGTTGTAACTGCTGTGTTGTGTTGTGCTGTGCTGTGCTGTTTGGCAGGTTCCTCTCGGTGAAGAAGTGGCTGTAACCGCTGTGACAAACTGCTGTGCTGTGCTGTAACTGCTGTGCTGTGGTGTAACTGCTGTGCTGTGGCTCTAACTGCTGTGCTGCGGCTCTAACTATTGTGCTGTGGCTCTAACTGCTGTGCTGTGCTGTTCGGCAGGTTCCTCTCGGTGAAGAAGTGGCTCCTGCGGAAGAAGCACCAGGTGGAGCTGGCCCGGAAGCGCGGCTGGAAGGGCTACTGGGTGTGTCTGAAGGGCACTACGCTGCTCTTCTACCCGTGCGAGTCGCGCGAGGGGCGCAGCATCGAGCAGGCGCCCAAACACCTCATCATCGTGGACGGCGCCATCATGCAGTCCATCCCCGAGCACCCCAAGCGGGAGCACATCTTCTGCCTGAGCACGGCCTTCGGAGACGCCTACCTGTTCCAGGTGACACGCCAAAATGAGAAACAGCGACCGATACAAATCACATAATATTAACTATCGTACAATACTATGTATAAGTTTCGCTAAAATTTGATCATAAATTTTGAGCTGACCACAGCTTTCGCCTTTCAATCAGATGGGCTGGAATGTGGGGGACTGGGTTGACATTATTACTGTACAAATGCCATTCGTTAGCAAGCATTGCGCCTTCCATTTGGTCCGGACCGCGGCGACGCCTGACATGCCGGCGGCACCAGTGACCTGACGCCCCGGCCCCGCCCTGTGGCAGGCGCCGTGCCAAGTCGAGCTGGAGAACTGGATCAACAGCATCCACAGCGCGTGCGCGGCGGCGTTCGCGCGCCACCGCGGCAAGACGGGCACGCTGCACCTGCTGCAGGAGGACATCTTCCGGCTGGAGCGCTCCATTGAGTCGGTAAGTGACGCGCGCGGGTCAGTCGGGCCGAGTTTGCCGACCACTGACCGCGGGCCCCGACCTGCGGCTATATGATTCTGTGCGGGGTATGTAGGCCGTTCGAGGCCGGTTCCTCCCGCGGTCTGTCCGACACTGAGCGGATCTGGCTCCCGGCGGCAGGACTCGAAACTGAAGTACATGGCGGACGTGCAGCTGAGCGTGGTCTCTGAACAGGACCGGGAGGAGCTGACCTCCCAGCTGGCCAGCTACGACGACAGCCTGGAGCGGCTGCACTGCGAGCAGTTCCGGCTGCGCTGCTACATGGCCTCGCTACAGGGTGGCGAGCTGCCCAACCCCAAGGTCAGTGGAATACCTACCGCTGCATTTCAGCGACGGGACGTTGGACTATCTATCGGACTTATCCCGCGTCGTCCTAATTCAGTGACCTTACTGACGCACGTCTGTGTCCCCCAGGGTCTGCTGACGCACGTCCATGTCTCCGAGGATCTGCTGACGCACGTCTATGTCCCCAGGGTCTGCTGACGCACGTCTATGTCCCCAGGGTCTGCTGACGCATGTCTCTGTCCCCCAGGGTCTGCTGACGCACGTCCATGTCTCCCAGGGTCTGCTGACGCACGTCTATGTCCCCAGGGTCTGCTGACGCGCGTCTGTGTCCCCCAGGGTCTGCTGACGCACGTCTATGTCCCCAGGGTCTGCTGACGCACGTCTCTGTACCCCAGGGTCTGCTAACACACGTCTGTGTCCCCAGGGTCTGCTGACGCTGTCCTCTGTCTCCAGGGTCTGCTGACGCACGTCTGTGTCCCCAGGGTCTGCTGACGCACGTCTGTGTCCCCAGGGTCTGCTGACGCACGTCCATGTTTGACGCACGTCCATGTCCCCCAGGGTCTGCTGACGCACGTCTCTGTACTCCAGGGTCTGCTGACGCACGTCTGTGTCCCCAGGGTCTGCTGACGCACGTCCATGTTTGACGCACGTCCATGTCCCCCAGGGTCTGCTGACGCACGTCTCTGTACTCCAGGGTCTGCTGACGCACGTCTGTGTCCCCCAGGGTCTGCTGACGCACGTCTGTGTCCCCCAGGGTCTGCTGACGCACGTCTGTGTCCCCCAGGGTCTGCTGACGCACGTCTGTGTCCCCCAGGGTCTGCTGACGCACGTCTGTGTCCACCAGGGTCTGCTGACGCACGTCTGTGTCCTCCAGGGTCTGCTGACGCACGTCTGTGTCCCCCAGGGTCTGCTGACGCACGTCTCTCGCGTCACCAAGATGACGCTGAACCGGCTGGGCGTGTTTAACGTCTCCTCGTTCCACGCCTACATCTGCGCGCGCAGCCCGAGCCTGTTGAACAACCTGCTGGCCGGCCGCGGCGCCACCAAGCGGCGCGCTCCCATGCTGTCGCGCAGCGGCAGCGGCGGCGGCAGTCGCTCCTTCAGCCACGAGAGCGGCGACGAGCGCACCTACCGCGTCCGCATGCCCGACAATCAGGTGCGTGTGTCAGCCGCGGCAGTTAGGGAGGGCCGCCAGGTGTATATCCAATGTTTTTGTGTCAGATTAACCGTCTTTCTGACAGCTGTCAGGCGTCGCATATGTTTTAAGTCGACATTTGCTGATTGTGTGCGCCGAATTAAAGTCACTCTTGTAACCCTGCTTTTGCATAAATGACAGCGATTTCCTTAAGTGCTGTTTTTAGACTGTTGTTATTCGACTTCGAGAGAGTATGACCGCTTTTTATGCTGTTTTCAGTATGTTGTTATTCACCTGCGAGAAGGTATGACGGTCGAGGATTTCCTAATATCGGCCTCTCTGAAGAAGAATCTCAATCCCATGGAGCAATTCGTGCGCGTCAAGAAAAGAAGAGACATGGAGGCGACCAATTACTTTGTGCCGCATCACTCCGACCTCATCGACACTTACGTAAGTATCACTTTTCATCTAATATTTTTAGTTCACTCAGCATTGTCAGCAATGTACTGGTCGTCCGCCGTCCGGTATTCGCCGGCATTGGTCCTCACCAACTACTCCTGCACAATACCCAGGCCGATTTTAAGTGAAGTTAATAAGATGAAAAATAATAGAGCTGGATACCCTTTTGGTTTGACCTTCCTGTTTTCAAGAGCAGTGTTACGCAGTTTCCGTTGGCTTCGGTAGGGAGTAGAGTTCTGCACGGCTGCAATTTTCCACAGCCTAGCCGCCCCGCAGCCGTGGCTCCACAGCCACAGCCGCCCACAGCCGTGGCAAACTGTGGGCAGCCAGCCGTCAGCCGGCCGTGGATACTTTCAATGAAATGCAACCAAATAGTACAAAATAAGTTGTTTTTAGTTGAAACATTTAGCTAAAAGCACATTGCAATGGGCTACAGATTCTCAAGCTCATGAAGCATCATAGGTTAAGTGGTTGTGTATCTGGCTTTAGGCTGAAGGCCTGAAGCCTGATGCGCATCGCATAGGTACCTAGGTACACAAGCCCTTGCAAGGGGTTAAGAAAGATGGGTAGGTAGGTAGGTATACCTACATCAACAGAAAACAAACAACGAACCAGAATAGAAGCACTAGCAGTGTAGACATCTAATGCCAAATCCTGAAGCATGGTTGTGGGACAGAACAACAGACTCTGATGCTTTTCATGATCAATGTTAGGTATGGAAAATGAAACTTGAACTGAAGTTGATGGACTGTCAAACAGTGATTGTCTGGTCAAAACTCTTGCTTCTTTCTTACCTTGCATTTTTTCTGGGGTGTGATATGCCAGGCTTGAAGCAGCCTTCTGAGCAAGTCTCAAACTAATTTGATATGCAAGGCATCAAAACACTAGTGAGCATCCAAGAAAGAACCACATTCATCTATTTTGATTTTTCCAAATAATGATCTTCGCTCAAATCCCCAAGGACGTGCGCGCCACAATTGCCTCTTTCAATTAAAAATTTTACTTGAGTTTTTAATGACGTCAATAGCAAAGAAGTGGCAATAAATTGTTTTGTGTCACTATAAACAGCCATAAAAATTATAACTAATAAATAATAATGCTGTACAGTTAAAAACTCGCTCTCAAACAAAGATAAATTATCAAATTTTAACATTTTCAGAAGAAGACGTCATTGTATTAGTAAAGTCAACAGCTCGCGTAAGAAATATTGTGTTCAGGGTTTTCACCGTCATGTGAATTACGTGTTCAGGGTTTTCACCATCATGTAAATTAGCCGTAAGTAAGGTTCATGCTCACTTATTATCTAATTTCATTGGCTTCGTTGATCAGCATTTTCTGTTAGCGGTCACTCACACACCAGTTAGAACATAAAGCACCAGTTTTATATTATGTAATTGGACTTGCCGAAAATCCAGAAATACATCTTACATCTAAGAGTTATTTTAGATAATATTTTATGAAGCCTTTACCTGCCCTTACCTAGGCGTGATTTCTTTTTTTATTACCTGAAAGAATCATTGAACGCTCGTCTTCAATAGCTGTAAGGTGCTCTCCTAATGACCAGGTGAGATTGATTTGAGAGGGATGTGACAATGCAACATGTTGCATTTTCTGAAACTGTAAAGTCTTGGTGATGAAGGAACATTTGGTACCTATAATTAGTATTCTGTACCAGAGTGCAAACTCCCCTACAGCAAATGGTAAAACCATTACAGGTTTTCAAAGGCTTCACCACTTTCAATGTTGCTGGGCATCCTTTGCATGATTTTTACAGGCTAGACTGCTTATAAGAATGTAAGATTAAGGATTTAAAATTTTATATTTGAGTACTTAAGATTGAGCTTGAAATCTCACAGCCGTGGCCACAGCCGTAGCCGTGTTCTTGGAGATATTTGCAGCCGCCCCGGCCCACAGCCGTGGGGCTGCAGCCAGCCGCGGCTGCAGCCGGCCGGTGCAGACCTCTAGTAGGGAGTGAATGTTTTTTTTTTTTTTTTTTTACCCAGCGACGAGCAGTCGCCACCCATTGCAAAAGTGGTTGTGAAATCCTAGCCCGGCGCCTCGTCCTGCTAATGCCCCAGTCACACTCCAGAGTCCAGTCCATCCCGCCGGCCGCCTGTGTATTCTCCCAGTCACAGCCCGGTCCATCCCTCGGCTGACGGGTCGCTGTGTGTTCTCCCAGTCATAGCCCGGTCCGTCCCGCCGGCTGACGGGCTGTGTGCTCTCTCCCAGTCACAGCCCTGTCCATCCCTCCGGCCGCTGACGGGTCACTGTGTGTTCTCTCTCAGTTGCAGACGCACGAAGTGTGCGAGATCTGCACCAAGGTGCTGTTCCAAGTGGAGCTGTCACGCTCGGCGCAGGACCAGATGTGGGGCTTCAGCGTGGAGGCCGAGCTGATTGAGAACGTGGACCGCCAGGACGAGCTGTGCTGCTACATCTCCCGGGTGGAGGACCGCTCGCGGGCCGCCCACAACGGTGCGTGCTGCGGACGGCCGGCCGGCTACGTATATACAGCTGTGCGCTGCTGGGGGGTGGGGGTGAGGTTTGCTGTTTGGTCTGCTGTGCGTCTGAGTGTTTGTGTGACCGGAGGTGGTGTGTTTTCTCTCTCACCCAGGCCTGATCCGCGGTGACGAGATCATGGTGATTAACGGCGCGATCGTCTCGGACCTGGACATGATGTATCTGGAGTCGGTGCTACAGGAGGAGCTGGCGCTCTGCCTCATGATGCGCTCCTCCCGCACAGAGGTCAGTACATGCTTGGTTTGGGGACCGCTCTCCTTTATGAGACGCCGATCGTGCCCTCTCGATATTTTGGACCCTTCAGCTATGCCGGTACTTATATGCCGGAATTTATCGTTCGCTCTTTTGCATACTTGGCGGCAAAGGAACTCACACTGAGTCGTCCTACTTCAGTGCGTCAGCAGTCGGGTGTACGCTGTACGGCGTACATACGCGTCCCCGTGGGTGCCTCGCCCGGTGTGCGCCATACACGTCCCCGTGTGTTGTGCGCTGTACACGTCCCCGTGGGTGCCCTCACCTGATGTGCGCTGTACACGTCCCCATGTGTGCTCCCGCGCAGGTGCCGGACGTGGCCAACCTGATGAAGTCGACCGACGACATCATCGAGCGGCTCGTCTGCCCGCCGCCGCCCTCTGAGAACACCGTGCGAGACGACGACATCGACAACATGATCGTGCCCAGCGTCAAATCCTGGGGTGAGTCGCCGCAACACGCTACCTGCTGAGTGGCCCGGCGGTGCCCGATCAGGACACGGGGACATCGGACTGAACGGGTGGGCGCGTTAAACTAGAGGCATATGGATTTATAGGATTCAGAGTAATTCGTGATAATTCTCTGTCTGAGACTGTAAAGTCATATTTAAACCCAGGTATGTTAATGATAAGAAGTTGGCGAGACCGGGCGTCCTAAAAGCACGCGACTTAAAGAACACGTAGCAGCCATAAAGCATGGGAGGTCAGACACATCCCCTTTAGCTGAACACTGGCTCCAGTGTCGCCAACCATTTGACCCAGGTCAGGCCAGCACGCTGGTGGTCGAGCCAACATGGTCCCGCGTGTCGTAAGGGAGGCCATCGAGATTCGATTATGCAACCCATCACTGAATCAGGGTGTCGGAAAGTTCTCGCTTAGCCCCATATGGGATAGTGTTTTGAAAAAGTAGACCTACTGGAGTACGAACTGTCTGTAAGTTGTGTCACGTGTTTTAGCATCGATCATTTTGAGAATTTCGTTGATGGCGGGGATGGCGGTATAGCATGATTATTGCTTGTTTTTTTTTTTTTTAATCGCATTGCCCCTTTGAAGACCTATCAATAAAGGTCGCAGTACAGGAAAAAGGCTTCTTTACACCCAGAGTCAGTCCGCTAAACGAATTCTTATCAATTCTCTGTCTGTAAAAGGACTGACGTATGCATCTGGGAAATAATGAAATGCATTTTTTTTTGGCATTCTGCTCTACAATCCTATGCATCACCATCTTCAGGTATTTTGGAGAAGGTGATGAGTACGATTTCGATTTTTAAATGCGTTTCCATTTCTATTTGTTACCCGGTTTATATCTTTCCTCGATTGTCACAATTTGACGTAATCTAACAGCGGGTGTCGGTGTTTGTCAGGTCGTCAGCGGTCGGCCGACATCGAGGGTTGTCCGCCGCCGCCCTCAGACACGTCCGACCGCTCCAATGTCTCCTCCGTCGAGATCGAAAACCTGCTCAAGGTGGGTCACGGGCCGTGGGCAGCAGAGGTCAGAGCGAGGACAGAGTCTGCGAGCAGAGGTCACCGAGAGGATAGAGTCTGGCAGTAGTCACCGCGAGGATAGGGCCTGTGAGCAGAGATCAGGGCATGGGACCAGATCAGAGGCCATGTTAGAGTTTACCGCTGTCTGTTCTCAGAGTGTCACGCTGTCGTTTGTCCTCTCTGGTGACTGGTATCTGTTCTCACTTCTCAGAATGCCACGCTGGTGAAGGGCTACTGTCGTTAGTTCTCTCAGTGCCACGCTGGTGACTGCTGTCTGTTTTCAGAGCGCCACGCTGGTGACGGGCTACTGTCATTTGTTCTCAGAGCGCCACGCTGGTGACGGGCTACTGCCGCTCGCCGGCCGAGTCGGCGCGCGGCCCCTCTCCCACGTCTAGTGTGGCCTCCAGTCAGAGTCAGACGGCCACGCCCAACCGACACCTGAGCGACGCCGACAAACTGCGCAAGGTTCTCACCGAGCTCATCGACACGGAGCGCACATACGTCAAGGTAAGTACCCGCGGCTGGGCGTGACGTGACGGAGACAGGTGGTCGGGCAAACAAAACTGGAAACATTGTACTGTGGTGCTACTTGGCACTCGGGTTAGGCGACCACCAGCTGCATTTCTAGGTGCCTGGTCATTGAGTGTTGGCACTGTGACGAGCCCAGCGCTGACTGCCCGTTCTGCCCTCCTGTTCCAGCACCTGAACTCGCTGATAGACAACTACCTGGAGCCGCTGCGGCGCGAGTCGTTCATCACCCCGGCCGAGATTAACGCCCTGTTCGGCAACATTCCGGAGATCGTCGAGTTCCAGCGCGACTTTCTGCAGAGCCTGGAGGAGGCCGTCGAAATGGAGCCCAGCCTCGGCCGGCTCGAGACGCCAACCCAGTTTAAGGTCGGAATCTCCAATCCCTTCCCGTACACACACTCACATACCCCTTCCTTATTCAATGACGGTCTAATGGCATGATGAGAAAGGATGTACTGTATCAGTTTTTTATTGAAATTGGCGTCGATAAACACAAATGTCGAACCCATCCTGCCCTCATCAAGTTGTAACTTTTAATTGCAAACTACAGGTGTTTTACATCATTGACTGCTACGCATTTTGGTTATGTCACGTCTTTCGGGATACGCTTTTCTATTTCATGACTTGTTATTGGAGTACAAATTGGATTTGCAAAACACGTAATCCCTGCTTCTTCTGACCACAGCTCTCTTTTTTTCAGAACGTATTATTCTCCATAGGAAACGCCTTTTTATATCACACAAATAGTTTCAAGCTGTATAGTTCCTTCTGTGCCAGTCACTCGAGAGCTCAAAAGGTTCTTCATCCAAGTGAGTATTCCTCGGTACTGTTTGCGCATATTGCCGTAAGTGCGAACGAATTTCCATTACGCAAATTGCACTCAATAATCTCGGTCAACAACTTAATTTATGATGGTCATTATATTCGTGTCATGACCATTGACCAATAAACACTTATTTCGGAAATAAACTTCACAGATATATTCATTTGATCATCAATCGACATCATAATCAAAGGACAGGTACTTATCCTTGTTTTGTATTAAAGCTCAGTGTCTGCCTCAGTTGGCTGCCAGCTCCGTCGCCCGGTGGTCGCTCCCGCCGGGCTGTGTCTGTCGGTGTATTCCGCCCCCGTCTGACGCCGCCGGCCCGCCGCCACCCCGGCAGGCGAGGGGAACCAGCAGCTGCAGCAGTTCCTGCAGCGCCAGAACCCGCGCCAGCAGCACTCCTCCACGCTGGAGAGCTACCTCATCAAGCCGATCCAGCGCATCCTCAAGTACCCCCTGCTGCTGCAGCAGCTGCGGAACCTGGCGGACCGACAGTCGGGCGAGCACCACCACCTGGAGGGTGCGTACCGGGCCGGTCCCCGGTCCGGTCCCGGGTCTCGGTACCTGCCCCCGCCAGTCTCGGCCGGGGTGGGAGCTAACGTCTCAACCCGTGTGCTCATTCAACGACGCAGCTTATTTGGCCTGCGTATGCACTTCTTCTGTGTGCAATGCTTCTGCCAGTTTTTCACGTGTCCTTTTGTGTCCGTCTTCTCGTCTGTCTCTCAGCTGTGTCCGAGGTGATTTTCCAGTCAATTATCGATAAAATCCACGTCTCTATAGTCTCAGTCGTTACCATTGTGTTGTTCTGTGTTCCGCAGAGGCGCTCAAAGGCATGGAGAAGGTGGCCGAGCACATTAACGAGATGCAGCGTATCCACGAGGAGTATGGAGCCATCTTCGACCACCTGTTCCGGCAGCACCAAAAGTCCACCAAAATGGTGCTGCCAGTCGCCTCGGTCAGTACAGTGGTGCCGTCCGATCAGTCGCTCTTATATTCAGGCTTCGTGGATCGGGCGGGGTTGATCTGACTGTCGATTGTATGTAGTGCTCGTTTGAAGCGCGACTTATGTGATACTTTTGATTACTTGCCTTATTTTTAGTTTCATGGTCGGATTAAATATTCAAATAATATTGTTTTACCCATTGACGGAGGTAGCGTGTCCTCCCAGCCGTAAAGAGGTGGCTGCCGTCGCCGTCTGACGTCCCCTCCCCCCCCCCCCCTGTTCGCCGGCCGGTGGATCTGACGTCCCCTGTCCGCCAGCCGGTGGATCTGAAGGCTCCCCTCTGTCCACCAGCCGGTGGATCTGACGCCCCCCCCCTCTGTCCGGCAGCCGGTGGATCTGACGTCCCCCCCCCCTCTGTCCGGCAGCCGGGGATCTGACGTCCCCTGTCCCCCAGCCGTTGGATCTGACGTCCCCCCTCTCTGTCCACCAGCCTGTGGACCTCTCGCCGGGCGACCTGCTCTACTATGGCGGCGTCGAGTGGCTCAACATCGCCGACTTCCTAGGAAAGATCAAAAAGGGCCTCGAACTGCACGCCATGTGCTTCGTCTTCAAGACGGCCGTTGTTTTCTTGTGCAAGGAGCGGCTCCGTCAGAAGAAGAAGCTCATGGTGAGAACCTCTAACTCTGACAGTGAATTTGATTTATTGGTTTCATGTAGTGCGATGTGTTTTCAGTCATCTGTCTGCGTTTCGAACTGCGCCCAGCTGCTGCGATTATCACAGCGGCCGGTTCTGACTGTGGCCGTGCGCCGTTCCGGCAGAGCGCGCCCAGTAAGGGTAACCCGGCCGAGGTGGAGATCATCCGATACCAGGTGCTCATCCCGGTCACCGAGGTGCAGGTACGCGCCTCATCGTGCCGCGACGTCGAGAACCACTACCTCTGGGAGCTGATCCACCTCAAGTCGCAGATTCACCGGCGCAACGAGAAGGTCTACCACCTCTCCAACAGGTACGGGTCGCGCGCCGGGCGGGGAGGGCGGACACTTCAGAGGACCGCGCCGCCCGCGCCCTGTGCGGGGCGGGCGGGCAGTGCGAGCCACACACCACGAGCGACATGACATAGGGAAATTAACCACTGATATAGCAAGACGTCCTTGAAGTTATTCAAAGAATATTAGTTTAACGTAATTATGATAATGTGCCCATATTTTTTCGGGTAATTGCTTTTATTTTACTGTTTGCATACAAAAGCAGAAACATTGCAGTTTCCTTACTAACACTTCATGACTAATTTGTTTATTTTTTAGCACAAGTGACTTCCGGAACGCCTTTCTGAAGACGATCCGGCAGATAATTCGGGAGAGCGTGCGTAACATGAGCATCCCGGTGACTAAGGCGTCCAACTCGACCTACAAGACGGGCACTCTGCAGCCGTCGCGCACACTCAGCATGCGGAAAAAGATGCAGAGCAAGGGCCAACGCTACTCGGCCGGCATGTGTGAGTGACCCTGTCCCCGGTCAGAGATCTGACTGCTCAGACTGTATGGCCCGGTCCTGGTTAGATATCTGACTGCTCAGACTGTATGGCCCGCTCCCTAGTCAGAGATGTGACTGCTCTGACCCTGTATGGCCCGGTCCCTGGTCAGAGATCTGACCCTGTATGGCCCGCTCCCTGGTCAGAGATCTGACCCTGTATGGCCCGCTCCCTGGTCAGAGATCTGACCCTGTATGGCCCGGTCCCTGGTCAGAGATCTGACCCTGTATGGCCCGCTCCCTGGTCAGAGATCTGACCCTGTATGGCCCGGCCCCTGGTCAGAGATCTGACCCTGTATGGCCCGCTCCCTGGTCAGAGATCTGACCCTGTATGGCCCGGCCCCTGGTCAGAGATCTGACCCTGTATGGCCCGCTCCCTGGTCAGAGATCTGACCCTGTATGGCCCGCTCCCTGGTCAGAGATCTGACCCTGTATGGCCCGGTCCCTGGTCAGAGATCGGACCCTGTATGGCCCGGTCCCTGGTCAGAGATCTGACCCTGTATGGCCCGGCCCCTGGTCAGAGATGTGACCGCGCAGACTTTATGGCCCGGTCCCTGGCCAGAGATCTGCCTGCTCAGACTATAATTTTAAAGCATGGTTAACTTACTGGTAATTTCTTTGAATTTATTTCCCTATGATTAAGTTGGCGATGGTTTTTTAACATCTAATGATAATACAGGGAGTATGATTCACCGCTGCCAATATGGCAATATCGACGTCGCTGAATCACGCTATCTTCATCCCAGCTGAATGAATCCGCTGCAATCACGTGTGTGACGCTGCCGGCCTGAAGAGCTGTGGTCGTCCCCCCTCCCCCGTCCCTATGGCGGCTCACGGCCGTGTGTATGCCCCTGTGACGGCTCACGGCCGTGTGTATGCCCCTGTGACGGCTCACGGTCGTGTGTATGTCCCTGTGACGGCTCACGGTCGTGTGTATGCCCCTGTGACGGCTCACGGTCGTGTGTATGTCCCTATGGCGGCTCACGGCCGTGTGTATGCCCCTGTGACGGCTCACGGTCGTGTGTATGTCCCTATGACGGCTCACGGTCGTGTGTTTGTCCCTGTGACGGCTCACGGTCGTGTGTATGCCCCTGTGGTGGCTCACGGTCGTGTGTATGTCCCTATGACGGCTCACGGTCGTGTGTATGTCCCTTTGGCGGCTCACGGCCGTGTGTATGCCCCTGTGACGGCTCACGGTCGTGTGTATGTCCCTATGACGGCTCACGGTCGTGTGTTTGTCCCTGTGACGGCTCACGGTCGTGTGTATGCCCCTGTGGCGGCTCACGGTCGTGTGTATGTCCCTATGACGGCTCACGGTCGTGTGTTTGTCCCTGTGACGGCTCACGGTCGTGTGTATGTCCCTGTGGCGGCTCACGGCCGTGTGTATGTCCCTGTGGCGGCTCACGGTCGTGTGTTTGTCCCTGTGACGGCTCACGGTCGTGTGTATGCCCCTGTGGCGGCTCACGGTCGTGTGTATGTCCCTATGACGGCTCACGGTCGTGTGTTTGTCCCTGTGACGGCTCACGGTCGTGTGTATGTCCCTGTGGCGGCTCACGGCCGTGTGTATGTCCCTGTGGCGGCTCACGGTCGTGTTTTTGTCCCTGTGGAGGCTCACGGTCGCCCCTTCCCCGGTCCTGTGGCGGCTCACGGTCGTGTGTATGTCCCTGTGACGGCTCACGGTCGCCCCTTCCCCGGTCCTGTGACGGTTCACGGTCGTGTGTATGCCCCTGTGACGGCTGTGACGGCTCACGGTCGTGTGTATGTCGGCTGTGACGGCTCACGGCCGTGTGTATGCCCCTGTGGCGGCTCACGGTCGTGTGTATGCCCCTGTGACGGCTCACGGTCGTGTATTTGCCCCTGTGACGGCTCACGGTCGTGTGTATGTCCCTGTGACGGCTCACGGCCGTGTGTATGTCCCTGTGACGGCTCACGGCCGTGTGTTTGTCCCTGTGACGGCTCACGGTCGTGTGTATGTCCCTGTGACGGCTCACGGTCGTGTGTATGCCCCTGTGACGGCTCACGGTCGTATACCCCTGTGACGGCTCACGGTCGTGTGTATACCCCTGTGACGGCTCACGGCCGTGTGTATGCCCCTGTGACGGCTCACGGTCGTATACCCCTGTGACGGCTCACGGTCGTGTGTATACCCCTGTGACGGCTCACGGCCGTGTGTATACCCCTGTGACGGCTCACGGTCGTATGTCCCTGTAACGGCTCACGGTCGCCCCTTCCCCGGTCCTGTGACGGCTCACGGTCGTGTGTATGCCGGCTGTGACGGCTCACGGTCGCTCCGCCCGTTCTGCAGCGGCCACCATCGACTACGACAACCTGGACGGCTACCACGAGGCGGTGTCGGGCAGCGAGACGAACCTGCGCCGGCGCAGCCGTACAATGGACGCCTCGTCCGGCCACCCAGGTCCGCGGCCCGGCCTCAGACCAGGTCACACGCCGCCCAGCGGTCGACAAACGGCGCGCGCCTATAGTCGTGTTCCATTTCCCTGACAGCTTCATGTCCCGAGCTGTTGGAGCAAGACGATGCTTTTTCGTTTCATAGTCAGAAATTCAGTAAAACACGTTCTTGCGATATCTTTATCACCATATCCTTGGCAACGCAAGCAGCATGCCTGGACTGACTCGGTGTGTTGTGACGATCCGCCGCGGCCCCAGTCCGTATATGTGCCCCCCTCCCCGCCCATGCTCCCGCAGGCCGGGCGTTCCGCCCCAGGCTGTGTCGCTGTGACCCCCCCCCCCGCCCCGCCGCTCCGGCAGGCCGGCCGGGCGCCCCAGGCCGCGCTGTGACCCCCCTCCCACGCCGCTCCGGCAGGCCGCGCTGTGACCCCCCCCCGCCGCTCCGGCAGGCCGCGCTGTGACCCCCCCCCCCCTCCCCCGCTCCGGCAGGCCGCGCTGTGACCCCCCCCTCCCCCCGCCGCCGCTCCGGCAGGCCGGCCGGGCGCCTGTAACCCAGGCCGCGCTGTGACCCCCTCCCCCGCCACTCCGGCAGGCCGTGCTGTGACCCCTCCCCTCGCTCCGGCAGACCGCCTGTGACCCAGGCCGCGCTGTGACCCCCCTCCCCCCGCTCCGGCAGGCCGCGCTGTGACCCCCCGCCCCACCCCTGCAGGCCGGCCGGGCGCGCTGGGCGATGACGGCTCGGACGTGCGGGACGACACGTCTCGCTCGGACGTCGAGGAGGAGGAGGAGGCGCTGACGCGCCGCTGCGGCCAGCTGGGCCGCATCCCCAACCACCTCAGCCTGAGCACGTCCAGCACACTGTCGGCCGGCAGCACGGGCAGCCAGGCGCGCCTCATCCAGGCCAGCAACGCGCCCGAACACTACCAGCCGCCGCACGCCCGCGCAGCAGGTACCACACTGACAGCAGCTCGTATAAGACCTTTTTCACAAAGCTACCTCCAATGTTTGAATTGAAGGATTGACCGAGGCAGAGCTGGAGCCCACGCTATGTGTGCAGAGCTTGTTGCGCAGACCCTGGCCCCTACCGTCCGATCGGGCAATTCCGGGTAACGGGAGAATTTATGTACTGGAGTGTGTAATAAATGTCCATAAAAGCCAGACACGGCCTGCCTCACTCAACTGACTTCAACTGGCTGCAGTTGCCACCAGCCGCAGACCATCCCTGTCATGAGTTTCAAATATTTGGCGCCGGAGCGACTCGAACCCGGGCTCTCACTGCCGGAAGTCCGACGCTGTACCAACTGAACTACGGAACGGACAATTAGCCCCGGGACAGTTTTAATATTTGTCTTAACATTGAAACATCTGTTAAATTACACGGCGATTATAGGGTGCTGTTTTTCCGATCCCTTGGTTTTGTGGGATTCGGCAAATTGCGGAAAGCTTTTGTCGGCTTTGTATTTGTGTGACATAGCTCTATGTGCTTTATTTACTTGATTATAGTGTATGGCATATGGTGAGGCGCTGGTTCTTGTTGGTCTCGGGCGCTCAGAGTGCGGCCGACTCATATGTAGAACATTTTGACCGGCGGCCGGGCGCTGAAGTGTGTCGCTATCGGGCGCGGCCCTGTGTGTCCCGGGGAGCCATGGGCCGGTGTGACCCCTGCTGTCTGACCGTCTGCCTGCCGGGATCGCCTCTGGCCCTGTATGTCCCCGGGAGCTCGTCTGACGCGGCCCCGCTGACCCTCCCCCTGTCCGCCCGCCAGGCTCGCCGGTCTGGAAGCCGCGCGGCCCGCTGCTGCACGAGGCCCGCACGCTGCCGCCGTGCTCCCGGGAGCGGGTGATATTTGACGACCACCCCGCGTACGCGCCGCGGCCGCACCCGGCGGCGACCGGAGCGCGCAGCAAGACTGACTCGCTCCGACTGGCCGGCAAACACGAGTAGCGGCCGCCGTGGACGTCTGTCTGCACACAGACTTCTCCCAGAGCTCTGCCAGCCAGAGGACCGCACAGGTGACTGCGGCGCCGCGCCGACTGAGGCCGCTAGCCCGGTGGTGGCTGAGACCGAACCCAGGGCGGCCCGTCGGAGGCTGCCGGCCGGACCGAGAGCTCCAAAGCTGAACCAGTGTTGGCTGCCGGCGGAGCCCAGCCCGGCCTGAGCCGGCGGTGGCGGCTGGCCGAGCCCAGAGCTCCGTGCTGAGCCAGTGGTGACTGAAGACCTAACCCCGTGCTGGCCTGACGGCCGACGGCCCATACAGTTGTTTGTAATTTTTTAGTTGCTCATTGGCGCTGTTGAGCGGTAGGGCGGACATCAGAGCGCCGGGCCGGAGTCGGCGCTGCGCGGGTGCGCGCCGGCGCTCGGCGGGGCTCCGTGCCCCGGCACCCCGGCACGGCCGGGTTCAATACGTGCTCAAAGCTGCTATGCGTTTCCCGACACGTCTTAATGGCTTATTTAAGAGCGGCGCGGCCGGGACGGGCGCGACCGGACCGCAGGAGCCGGGGACGGCGCGCGGCGATACTGAGACGGGCTGCAGCGTACTGGTCTAGTCCAACTATTTTCATCCAGATCTCCCTCTGCCACATCGCGGTTGTGTTGAGATGTGACTGTTGTTCTTTCATGTATATATATATATATATATATATATATATATATATATATATATATATATATATATATATATATATATATATATATATATATATATATATATATATATATATATATATATATATATATATATATATATATATATATATATGAGGTATATGTTGGCTCACTGAAATGCCCTGAGTTTGTGCCAAACGGAGTGGGTGGGACGGGGCCGACCTGACGGCGTGGCCGCCGCGCCCGCCGGCTGGACCACCTACTGCAGCATTCCATTGATGTATTATCTTCCAGAGTAGCTAGTTTTCTATCCGTAGCCATTGTTCATTGCTGGTTCTGGTTAATATGTAGGGTAGCCTGCGTTGGTTTGGGACCCTGTGCGTTTGGTTTTTGGTGCGGTGCGCCGGTGCAGGGGCGCCGGCCGGCCGGACTCGTGGCGGGGCGCTGGCCGGCGGGTCGGGCCGTCAACTGGGGCAGCGGGCGCCGCCGACCCGCCGCGCTGCCAGCCAACTCTTACAGCACTTCACACACGGCAACTCAGGAGGACACCTTTTCTATTGTTTGGTTTGTGCTCAATAATCTCCGCATCTGATCCTGACTTACGTGTGTGACGATTGCCAAACAGTTATTGGTTCAATAAATTTTTCCACGTAATTGTGACCAGCGTGTGCTGTCAGTGCTGCGATCGCGAATTGGCCCCGTTCGGCGTATGTGGGTGATGGCGTGTAATAGAGATGTCAATTGGATACCAACTTTTTGGTATACCGATACCAAACCGATACTATCTTGGTATTTGGTATTTCAAGACGAGTAAATTTGGTATTTTGTTGGTATTATGAATCCTCATTCCTCGCTAATATAAAAGAGGCTGCAAATTTGGTAAAAAGTTGGCATTTCCTAATATTTCAAAGTTGGATTGGTTTCGGCATTTTTCCACGGATATTGTTGGTATTTGGTTTGGTATCGGTATCACGATTTTAATTGACATCGCTTGCGTGTAAGGAGTGGACATACCATAGAATGCTGGCTCGAATGAGTCGAACCCCATCTCCAAATGATGCGCATGTATGTACCTACATCCACTTATCGCAAAAAAGTATGTTTTCTTTAACCCACGCCCTGGTGGGGTTCATTTATAACGCGGTGGGGGGGGGGGGGCTATTTTTGTTCCCGAAAGTTACGTATCTTCGAAACTACTGGAGGGATCCGCAAAATTCAAGCGGCGTTCGAAAGCCCTGTCAAATTTGCCGAAGGAACTCCAATTTCATTGACCTCGGAGTCACCGATGACGACACAGGTCTGGTCAAAGATAAAATGTTTTGCCGGTCAAGGGTCTTCTAGAGAATGCGCTATAACATCGAATGCAACGCATTTTTTTCGAAAATCAGCGATAGGGCGTCAGTTGCCTAGTAGGTACATATGTTGCTATTAGAGGTCACTGATAATACCAGGTCAGGTCAGAGACCAGGTCACCAAGGGTCAACACTCAGCACATGAACCCACTGTGTGGTGCACGTTTTATGACCAATTTCTCATTTCAAACTCAATGGCATTGATTATAAGACCATCAGGAACGGTTTTGGTCACTTCCTGGTGGAAGGTCAGGGAAAAAAAGGTCAAATTTCAAAGTTGATATTTTTGCATAAAATGGGTATTGATTCGATGCAGCTCGTCATGGCGAGTCTAATGGTGGTCTTTGTTTTGCTCCACGTGGTCTAGAATTGCTAAAAGTTGAGCTATAAATTTGACCTAATCAATTACAGTTTTATCGCTATAACTTGGCCTAAAAAGAGGTACCTATCGATCTAACTTGGTATGTGAATAGAGGTCGGTAAGGGCTATCACATACATTCCGGTTTTTTTCGAAAATCGAAAAACTTTTGGAATTTTTGTCAATTATTTAAAAAATTGATTTTCGGGGGTCTAAATTCCGGTCTAAATAGCCGGTCCCGTAGCTCAGTTGGTAGAGCGTTGAACTCCGCGTGGTGAGAGCACGCGTTCCCGGTTACAACAGTCCGGGTTCGAAGCGCGACGGGCGCTTGACATTTATGGGCCTCCTGACAGGTATGGTTGCGGTTGGTGGCAGGCAGTAGCCAGGTGAAGTCAGTGAGGGGACCGGCCGTGCGCGGCTATGTGCGCACGTTAAACTTTGGACTCTAAATTCTGCCATAGAACTGGGATTGCGCGATCGGAGGGTGGAGGGCAGGGTCACCGCAACTATTTATAGTCACCGTGACCGCAACAAGCTTCGCTTAGCGGTGGCTCCGTCCTTGTGAATCCTTCCCATCAAAAGGTTCAGACTAAATTTATAAAAAAAATTGATAATATTCAAGTTCGAGATGGCCGTTTTGTAGCACTGGTAATTATGTATCTATGTATTGTATACCCAAATCTTTTATGTCTTAAACGTTTTTCTGTATAGTCAAAGCTATAGGCTTTGACTTTTCCCGCGAAACTTTTTTTTGGTCGAAAAAGGCAGAACATGACGTCCCTCTGACGTCATTTAACCCGCGCGGGGCTGGGGTCTCCAGCCGAACGCGCGGGGCTGGGGGGGGGGGGGGGGGTAAATTTTACCCCCCCTGTTATCTCCCGAACTAATGGTCCGATTTGGAAAATTCAAACGCCAATCGAAATATCTCATCACGAACAACTAAAAACATGTACTTAATTTTAAGTTTGAGGTCAAGGTCAGGTCAAGGGTACAAATTGCAAGTTCCTACAGTATCGGCCTAACACCGTAGTTGCCGAAGAATGGAGTCATGGACTGAGACTGATCGCCCAAAACGTGTTCTTAGGCTACCAAGACAATATTCGTTGCATACAATATCAGTCAGAGGTCAAGGTCAAGGTCAGGTCAGGTCAGGTCACCAAAAACAAAATATAGAAAAGGGCATGTGCGACACATGTTTTATGGGTCATTTTACTCATAGAATTCAATAGGCACACTCAATAAGTGATATGGACCACCTCTGGATGAATTTCAGGTCGAGGTCAGGTCAAGGTCAGGTCAAGTGAGGTCAAATTTTGAAGTTGGTTGTTAAGGCCTAAAAACCCAGTAAACATGCCGACGTCGGCCGACGTCGGGGTGACGTCGGCAACTCGGCATCGACATGCCGACGTCGGCCCGACGTCGGTCCAACCTCGGCACGACGTCGGCTGGGTGTCGGATATGCCCGCATGTTCCGACGTCCAGCCGATGTCCAGCCGACGTCGGGCCGACGTCGGACCGAGATCAATTGCTGAGGTCCAGCCGACGTCGGGCCGACGTCGGAGCGACGTCGGACCGACATCGGCCGCTGTTTTGACCGTTAAAATAATATAAAATACTTGTTTCATGTTTCATAAAGAGCTTCTGTATTCAAAATATCCTCAGAAAACTCAAATCTTCCTCCACGCCGCAACCCCCTAATCCGGACTGGACGGGAAACTTTATCCCATTTGGGATTGCCCGTAAGCCGAGCTCGCCCGTAGCCGGGTGCGGTGAGTGCTTGGGGGCTGCTTGGCATATCCTGGCTTTGGTCAGGCTCAGCCCCGGCAACTCACCAGGACCGGGCCCAGTTCATATACACACAGAAAAATATTGACACCGTTAGCGGTGTAATTGCACAGTACATATCTGAGCACTTGAGGAAAGTTAATTTAGTCCCTTCCCCGCTTAAATTACTCGCGCTTCCAAATGAACACCAGGAAGAAGGTAATAGAACACTGTTAGGAGGGTTGGGTGTTTTACTACATGTAGCAAAACACCCAACCCTCCTAACAGTGTTCTATTACCTTCTTCCTGGTGTTCATTTGGAAGCGCGAGTAATTTAAGCGGGGAAGGGACTAAATTAACTTTCCTCAAGTGCTCAGATATGTACTGTGCAATTACACCGCTAACGGTGTAATATTTTTCTGTGTGTAGAAAGGCCAGTCGGCAAGTGTCACTTTGCCAAAGTGCCACTTATCAAAGGGACACTTTGGGAAACGTTGGCGCAGGTGTGTAAGAGTGGCTATATGAATCCATTGTGGGGTCGCCCTTTCCAATAAGTGTCACGTAACAGCAATGGGACCAGGGACTCTATATGAACTGGACCCAGGGTGCTCGCCAAGAAGACCAATGTCTCCATCCTATGATCCTTCCGGCTCTGAAATGGTCTCGTCAGACCGAAAGGGCATAACCCAACAAAACAAACCAAATTCGTTAGCTGGCTGCGTGGTGTAGTGGTTAGCGCACTAACCTCGCGTTCGAATGATACGGGGTTCGAGTCCCATCGCCGGCTGATGCTTTTGGCGTGTTGTCCCAGTAAACATGCCGACGTCGGCGACTGGGGGGCTCGAATACCGCCGCCGGTTGATATTTTTGGCGCAATGTCCCAATAAACATTCCGACGTCGGCCCCGTCAGTCCAACGACAAACGATCTCGTCAACCTCGGCAAACGATCTCGGCCCGACGTCGGCTCGACGTCGGCTGGACTTCGGCTGGACGTCGGAACATGCGGGCATATCCAACGTCCAGCCGATGTCGGGCCGATGTTGAACCGACGTCGGGCCGACGTCGTCATGTTTACTGGGAAGGTGTCTATCTGATGCATTTTTTTACGGCGAATCGAATGGTGCTATTTTTGTTTCCGTACAAGGTCTAGAACTTCCAAAAAAGTCATTTTTCAAAAATTTTGTGTGTCGTGACGTCATACAATTTTTAATAACTCCCACATTTTTGAACCGATTCTTCTAAAGCTTGGTATGTAGGTGCACATAGACCACTTCTCTGACATATATTCCGTTTTTTTATACACTCAAAATTTTGGATTTTATAGCTATTTTCCCAAAAAAGTCAGTTTTTTTGAAAAAAAATTGGGCCAAAATCCAAAATTTTCAAAAAAACCGAGATAGCCATTTGATAGAAAAAGTAGAATTACGTATACCCTTTTTTGTTACGTCTTGATTCCTTTAAAAATAAAGATGTGAGCGGCGTTTGAACTTTTGCCGTTTTTGAGGCGAAAATGGCGAACATGACGTCACTAAAACGTCAATTTCTCAAAAATTTCCGACGGATTTCGCTCAAATTTTCAGGGAACGTGTCAAATTGATGTAAGAAAAGGTACTGAAAGTTTGGCGGCGCTGCGCGCCGCCGTTTTTCAGATATTGCAAAAGTTCGCGAGGGGGGGGGGTAAAATTTACCCTCCCCCCAGCCCCGCGTGGGTTAAGGCCAACCTATCATAGCCTTTGGAAAAGGTTTGGTCACAATGTGTAAAATTGATGCCCGAGAGGCTGCTGAAAGTTTGGTGACGATCGGCGCAGCGGTTCTGGAGATATATCGAAAAGTCTGGAGGGAGGGGGCAAAAAATAGCCCCCCCTCCACCAGGGCACGGGTTAATACTAGCTTGGCCTCACGTCACGAGCAGTGGTAGTTTTAAAGTGCCCTTATAGTACAGTTATTAACCTGCGCCGTGCTGGGGGGACGTTTTTACGCCCCTACCCCCCTCTCAGGCTTTTCGCGAATATCTAAAAAAAAAAAAAAAAAACGGCGGCGCGCTGCAAGAATTTCAGACCAGTGTCGTTCAAGGTCAGGTCACTCGGCCACGTCAAGTGACCTTATCTCAGAAAGAAATTCAAAGGCTCACTGTAGCTACACCGACTTAAAGATCGCTTTAAAAACTTTCAGCGATTGATAAGA